AACATGTGAACTCTTTGTTCCGTAAACTATTCGCTCGGTCGAATATACATACTAGAAGATATTTTTATACTTAAAGTGTGACGAATGATTAAGTTGACTTATAATTGACTGTTTTGAAAAATAACTTTGAATTAATAAATAAATACTTGAATAATAATTTTAGTATTCCTTTTTTATGAACTATCCATTTTTGTTATCATAAATCACCATATAAAAATATTATTTTTTAAGTGTATTATTTCAGTTAATATTAAATAGTGAATTGAAGTAAGTTATTGAAAACGTGAACAATTTGGTAAGATTTAGCCCAAGAGATTAAACAATATAGTATAGTGAAAATTTTGGATTTTAGAAAACATTTGGACACGAGTCCTAAATACAATTCTAGATTTGAAAATAAAACAGTGGTTCTGTAATTAAAAAATTGTTTAAGAAAAAATTAGATTTAATATTGTATCAATTTATAAATATTAGAAAATCTATTTATTCATTTAGCTTTAAATTTTTACTTCGGGTAGGTTAACTTATCTGAAACAGTTTACATGAATGAATAAATTTTATAAACGTTTAGGCATTGTATCGTTATACATTGGTGATTTATAAAAATGTTTAGTAAACGGATGAAATGAAAAACATGTTTCCGCTGCATTATAATATTACATCACTAGCGGTTTGTGTTGTAAAAGAACTCGTCTTGGTTCATTAGGCTGGCAGAGAGATTAATTAAAAACGCGCGGGAACTAGTCACGATGGCATTGGACAGAGGATGTAGCATTATTGGAATCGTAAGATTCACAATAACAATCACGTGTTATTTAATAGAGATAAAACAGCGCGTTAAAAAAACGAACATTATTCAGTGTGCGTTATGCCATGATAATTAGAAAAAACGACAAACACATTTATAAACTATGGGAATTCACTTGACATCTACACACATTTTGAGAAACATCATTAATAAAGTTTTATGAAAGACAAATAGATAATACGACATTTGAGTGAATAATTAGCGTCATTCAATTAAAATGAAGCGTTATTGTTTGATTACTGAAAGAACATAGTCCGTTAAATTAATAAACTTAATAACACACTGATACGTCTTCATAATATAGGACAGTTAAATGAACGTTTTAAATAAACTGCAGTTCGCGTGTCCGGCAAATAAAACAATACCCATAGGTAATATAATTATTTTTGAAAATCATTGAAACATCAAAAACTAGTAATACTACGGGAAACCGAACCGATGATACGGAATTTGACGTTAAAAATTGTAACGAATAAACGTCCAATAGATATTCTGGTAAACGATGAGCAACGTGCATAATTTTTTGAAAAACAATTCAAGTTGAATGGCTTTATTGAACGGTTATTTGTATTGACTGAAAATTCGATAATTCCAAAAGGGTTGCGTTTCGTAAGAAAAGATATGATCGACCAACAAACGTTGGCCTCGGAAGGTCAATCTAATAGTTTATACGCATGTGTTACGATCCGGCTATGATTATTTCCATGTCGGAATAAACGTTTAATTCCATTTATATGCATAAAGATAAATATGCAACAGGATACATGTTGTACGTGTATACGTTTACGTTGTAAATCGATGTGTTCGAACTTCCAAAACGGGAGGACCTTGTTCGCAAACCAGTATTTTCGGCGACCAAATGTCATTCCGACAGGGCTTAAAGTAATACAATACATTTATTTCCATTATGTTAATGCCGATGCATCGAAAAACCGGTCATTCAAAAGTATAAGTAATCACGTTATGACCCGACGGCCGTACACGACTTGTACGTTATACTTAGAGACATTTGTGCTCACAACACATACATCTTCACGTTTCTAGATAAAATCGACGTGGTTGCGTAGCATTTGCACAGAAACGTTATCCGTTTGTTAATACAAACACGTTTTTTAAACGATTATCGGTGTATTTTTGAAATGTGTTCAGTAGGTTATGCATTTAAAATGTTTACTCAAAATTTGTTCTATATCTTAATGATGTTCTTATACCGAGTAATTACTTCACTCGCTGTATTATTCATGTCAAGAACTATAATATCAAATTCCAATAAACGTAAGTTTAATAACTGACGACCCTTGACGCAATTAGTATTTTCAATTTGAGGTACCTTAAGACCAAAATAATTGTTTCTCGCTCTGTTCAAAATGTTATACCCAACCTTCATTTTATCTATTTATAAATAAACAATCATGTATAGCATTATTATAAAATTATGCTACGTTATGATCATATTCATACAATTTTTTCCTATCACTGTAGTAGTACAACTATAACTGATGAAATCTTAGCATATTACTGTTTAAAATAAAATATACATATTACACCGATGACATTGCAATTATTTATACAATAACATAAGGAATTAAGCATATTATATTTGCTTAAATCATATTAAAACAATGCCATTTGTTCAGGGCGCTAAGTAGCCAAAGCACCTCTCTATTTGTGCTTATGCTGAGGAGTGTAAAAGTAAATTATGCCAAAAACCAGTTTATACATAAAAACATTAAAATTTCAGATTTTAATAATACTACTTGTTGGTTATTATCAAAACTTATTTCATTGTTACGCCGCCTGATAGCTTTTTTTTTTTTTAATAATGTTTTATAACGTTATACAAGTGCTTTTTTAATGTTATTTTACAAAATCACTATTTGGGCCATTAAAGACGATTAATTATGTAAATTGTTACTATGGTTAAAATAATAATAAAAGTTAAATCGTAAATAATTAAATAATATTTCTTGTAAATCTATGCCGACCATACGACCAATCCAATGTATCTTTATTAGAAGAAGTATTAAATTATTCAAATATTAATATTATTTATAATTTTCTACTGGTATGTAAAGTTATTTTACTTTTTTTAGTGAAATATTTTTACAATATTGTTCTATTCTATTAAAACACAACTTGAAGGCACAATAATTATTTTTATTGAGATAGCAGCCATAAAAAATATTCAGTGGTTTTTTGATTTAAATGATTATGAGATAATTACGTATTTTGAAAATTTGCTTTTGTATCTTTTGTTAGATTTCAAGTTTTTCTACTGATTTGATTTAATTGAAAATATAATTTTTTATTTTTATATCAGCTGATTCCTTATATAAAATTAATTTTTAAAAAAGCTCGTACATTAAAAACATAGTTTAGTTTTTAAGTTTAATGTAGGAGTAAAAGTTGAAGAATTTGGGGAAAATATAGATATTAAAATACAACATCTCTTAAATATCAATTTTGTATCTATATTTAAATAATTGAAGAGCTATGAACATAACGTCCAAATAACTGTTAGTCTCATAGACATAATTAGAAAAATATTTATTTTTTTTATAGCAGGTCTGTTATTTTCCCTCGTTTTAAAATTATTTTGTGTATACCAAAAGATTAGTTTACAATTTTGTTTCACCAGTGATTATTGTACAGTGTAATTTATTAAATATACCATTAGCCCCCCTTTTTTAATAATGTTTTTTTTACAAACATTTATTGAATTAAGTTTTATTTATTTATTGACGATCAGATGTGGATCTAGAATTTTTCAGGGTAAAAGTAACTTTAAATAAAATACGAGATGGGTATTATGATCTTTGTCACGATAGATTTCTAAATACTAAAATCTAAAAAAATAATACTTCATAACGTAGTATCGATTATTTCAAAATGTTTTAGTCAATCCTCATGTAATTTTATAAAAATAATTATAGTTTTCCAATAACTATCGAAAGTTACCCGTCGAAACTTCTCTAAGAAATATTTTTAGCTTCGATGCGAATCTAAGAGGATATTAGTTTTACTATGATGTGTTTTTTTTTTGTGTGTGTTTGTTACCACTTTTTCTCAGCATTCACCGAACCGATTTCTTTCAACGAAACGTCAAAAGATCACAAATTGTATCTAGTCGAAGACATTACCCTCAAAAATTGAAAATATTCCCTTTGTTCCCCGTAATTGGGTGAAATATCCAAAATAATTACAAATTTAAAAATCTCTAATGTTCGACATTTTTTCAATTTTTTTTACTTAAAACTGCCATAACTTTTTTAAAAATGGCCAAATCAATATATTTTTTTATAGATACATGAGATATTTACCTATCATTTGGTATATTTTATTTATAAATCTGACCCTTTACCTGCCCACAGGGGGGAATTTAAAATGACAACTTTTCCACAAAAAATGAACTTTTTCAACTTTTTTGTTTTGAAAGTTTTCCATATATATAAAAGACATTTTCATATATATCTTAAATTAAAGCTTATATAATGTACTTTATTTTGAAAAAAAAAAAATTTCGGACTTTATTTTGTCTTCACAGTAAAAATGGATACCAAATGCTCTTTTTGTGTGAAAATTCTCAATTTTATATTTTACATTTTTAACTTTATTATGCAATAACTTTTTGAAAAGTGTATGGATCAAATCTTTCATACGACATACTTTTTTTTTTAAATAACATTATTTACTATATATATAAATGTATATATATTTATATATTACACTTATATATCATAAAACTTGTAATCAGGATATAAATAAGGAAATAGGAGTTAGAAAATCGTTATTTTGATGTATAATTTGGAATAGTTAGAATTACACTATTAATCACTATTTTGTAGGAACTTGAATGTTTTAGAAGAAATCCTGTATGTCAAAAAAGCAAAAAAATTTAAATGTGATATTTTTATAAATGTAACCAAATAGTTGTCGGTTTTTTTCCTTTTATTACATAATTTTTATTTTTTAATATATAACTAATTTTATGATTATTTTGACAAAATAAGTTAAAAGTTATGTCAACAGAACTAACTATTTACCATATTTTAAAGTTATCTTAAAATATAGTCCTTTCTAAAAATGTCTAGCTTGCAAATAGTATTAAAACCACTTTATAAACATTACTTTTAAAAATATAAGATTTCTGGTAGAGAGTAATAATTTTTATTTTTAACGATTAAAAACTTACTTGGTAGGTTAAAGTATTTTTGTCGCTGGGTAAATATTTATTGCAAATTTCTTGATTTCGTAATGAAACTAGTACATAAAAAATGTTTAGTTAATAATAAACATAAGAAAATTACTATGATCTAACGAGATCTTCGCTATATTCGGACGCGAACACAATGTACCACAACCACCACACGACACCGCTAACCGTATACTGTTGAATTGCGCCTGTTGGTCTTTGGCGGCATAATCGTAACTAACCACAACTGGTTGTGAGACGCTGATAAACCTTCTTAAGTAAATGACAAAACACGAGAGTAAAATCAGGGCGAACAGCTGTTTTATAAAATGAACTGATTGTAATAAACTCAATACATGAGTTTTGAGGAGTTTGCGATTGATTGCTTAAGTTTGTTGTAGCCATATCTTATGTTATTCGACTCCCAAAAGTGGATACATTCGGTATTGATTTTTAATTATTATATAGATAATGATGCGTGTAAATACGTTAACATTTTTAGGATCAAAATTATAGAAGACGATTTTTGTTTGGGGACAACATTTTTGAGCCTTTTTATTATGTAGTATAATTTGTTTTCAAAATCAAAAATAAATGGGAGACTTGTTTTATCAACGCCGGTTTTAACGCTTGTTAATATTTTAACATTTTTTCTTTCAAAATTAAAAATCAAGACTAAAATAAAAAATATTTAAGAAATATTGAAGGCGGCAATATATGATATTCAGGCACGTAGACAAGGGTGGGCCTGGGTGGGCCTGGCCCCCCTTAAATTTAATGTGGCCCAGAGCCGGCCCCCCCAAATTTAAAATTCAATTATTTTTACGAATTATCAAAAACGTGCTAGGCCTTATATACATTGAAATTATTATTCATTTGTGATTACTATTGAGTAATACAGTTATTATTATGGCTGTATTTTCATTTTTATATTCATAGAAAACGTTATTTGAAAAAGATAACGTTCTAGACGTAATAATAAATGGAATAGCAATTACTCCAAACGTGGTTGTAGGTAAATTTTTTTTAACTCTGGTCTAACAAATGATAACAAACTACCAAGTATCTGCATTGATTAGAATCTAGTTGATTACAAAATTCGATAGAGTATACTCTATAAAAATTTTTTGATAAATCTTATCTATAATTTGTTTCTTTTTTTATAATTTAGTAGTTACAATAGGTAATTTATTTGTTTTTGTTAATTTGTTATTTGCGTGCTCTAAATAATAGTAATTAAAATATGACTAAAAAAAGGCAGGAATTGTTTTTAATTTTAAATAAAATAAAATAAAATTTTACATTGTTTATAATTTATATTTATTTTAAAATTTTTTATAACTTAATTGTTATTAGTATTTAGGAATAAATTATTTTTTCTTAATAGCTTAAAAGTTGAAAAATTAAATCAGCTTATGTTCATATCATTATTTTATTAGCTTCGATGCAAAGCTGAGAAGGTATTATTTTTACTACGGTGTGTTTTTTTTTGTGTCTGTTACCACTTTTTCTCAGCTCTCACTGAACCCATTTCTTTCAGTAATACGTCAAAAGATCACAAATCGTATCTAGTCGAAGACATTACCCTCAAAAATTGCCATAACTTTTTTATAAAGATGTATGATATCGTTACTTTTCATTTGATATATTTTTTTTATAAATCTGACCCTTTACCTGCCCACGGGGGGGATTTAAAATGACAACTTTTTCACAAAAAATTAACTTTTTTCACTTAAATTTTTAAAATGTTCCGGAAAGTCTGACACTTTTATCTATATCTTAAATTAAAGCTAACGTAATGTACTATTTTATTTAAAAAAATTTCGGAGTTAATTTTGTCTTCACGGTGAAAATGGCTACCGAATGATATTTTTGTGTAAAAATTCTCGATTTTGTATTTTACATTTTTAACTTTATAATGCTATAACTTTTTGAAAAATGTATGGATCAGCACAATTTTTTTATGAGAAATAATATTTTTTAATAATCTCTTTTTCATTCGACATACTTTATCTTAATCAGGATATTAATAAGGAAATAGCAGATCATGTAACTTTTGGAATAATCCACCAATTTTCGAAAAATAAACACAAATTTTGAACTTGTAAGATTCATAGAATGGGATACTGTCTAAGAAGGAGTGGAGGGACCCCCCCACAATCTTTTCATGGTAAACAAATTATGGAAAATGATACAAAGGCCCAAAATTGTTGGCCCCTCCAATAAACATTTTCTGGCTACGTGCCTGATGATATTTATCAATAACATGTATTTTTAATATTTGTTGTTTGTTCAACATGTTTATAATAATTATACAATTTAAATCGTAAAAATTAAATAATAGTTCTTATAAATGTATGACTATTTCAGTGGGTCTTTATTAGAGGGAGTATTAAATTATTCAAATTTTAATATTGTTTATAATTTTCTATTGGTATGTACATTTTTTTTACAAATAAACACTTTTTAAGTTTAAAAAGCGTATTATAATGTTAATATTACACATACTATTAATAGAAAAAACAATATTCTATCTTTCCATTAAACCATAACCCGAGGGGACAATTTTAATTAAAATTGTATTTTTAATAGTTGCTTATATATTTTATCATCATTGTAACATTGTACTTTTTGTTTGATATACTTCATATACCGATTTCATAATAAATGGGCACCAGAAACGTCACTATTTTTGGATGATTTTGCTACATAAGCCACTACTTAATTATTTTTGATATTATTTGATTATAAATTTAAACTTTTTTTATTAACACATTATAAGGTGCATTTTTTCTATGATAAAATTAAGAATTGTTTCTCCTTGATCCACTCAAGGATCTTTACATTCAAGTACATGTCTACTTTTTAATTTGTAAACATTGTTTACGTTATATTAATAAAATTAAAAATATTATTGAATATATTTTATTAGGCAAAAAATTTCAGCCTCATTAAAATTTGGTATTATAATGTGTGTATTTTAACGTTATCTAAAATATGTATACACAGCTGTCCGTATAATTATGGAGTTCGGGGCACACCTTTTATAAGTCGGTAATTTTAAAATATTAACATACGTTAAATAACTTTATTTATTAACTCTACAAGTACCTCACCTAGCCTATGTATAATTTATTATATTATATTAAACTATTCACTATAGTATCATAGTTTATACTGTAAAAATATTTTGTAATTGATTTCACTTAAATAATAATGTAATATTGTCAAATAAAAATCCAAACTATATTTGTAATAAATGTAAATGGTTACATTTAAAAAAAAGACGAGCTTGTGTCGATTTAGAACCACCCTAAATATCTTATTATTTGTCCACACCTTTATCCCAACCACTTGGAGTCAGCCACCCTTATCTTAAACTTCCACTTGACACTATCTCTCACATCAGCAGTCCTCATATCGCATTCAATAATATCCCTCCATCTCTTTTTTAGTTTTCCTTCAATATTTTTTTCCATAACTGTTCCTACAAATTCTGAATTCTCTCTCCTAATAACATGACCTACCATTTAAGTCTATTTTCTCTCATCTTATCCACGTTTGATGCAACATCTGTACTCCCTCTTATATGTTCAATCCTTATTCTAATTTCTCTAGTCACTCCACTCATCCATCTAAGCTTTCTCATCTCTGCTTATTTCACCTAACTCGTGTTCTCCTTTGTTAAACTAAAACTCTATATACTCTGCTTTACCCCTACTTATTTTTAATCCCTTTTCTTTAAGAGCTTGTCTCCATATCTCTAGCTTTTGATTAATTTCCTCCCAATTTTTTCCTATTGACTCTCTATCGTCAGCGAAGGACTGTCTTCCATATATAAGTTTAATAAACTTGTCACTAGTCAAAATATTATACTAAAAATTAGTATAATTTACTAAAAAGGTTAGTGTCATTCTTAATATCAATTTAATTTGTAATGAAACGTGTTTTCAATTTAAATACTACTGTTTAAGATATTAATGTACTAGAAAAAATTTAACAATATATAATAACTTATATACCATTAAAGACAATTTTCATTGAGCTATCTTAATATTACAATAAACTAGTATAATTAGTTAAGATAGTTGTAAAATTGTGTTTTCCAAAAAATTATTTAAATTGAAAAAAGTACTGATTGTTATTATTACTGACACATATCTCATTCATAATAATTTAAAAAAATATATATTAAAAAAAAAAGAACAACATGATTAATATAAATTTAACGGTTTAATTGATAAATGTTCACATTTATTTATATTATTGTATATTACAGTAAAATCATAAAAAAATAAAAATCTAGAACTCGACCCATGCTAAAATAATTAAATGACATTCATACAACAAAATATCATTGTGAATTTCTTTAAAAGCATTGTAAATGGTTTAAGATATTTATTACATTATATTAGATACCGATTTATAGCAAAAATATTAAAGAAAAAAAAACATGAAATAGGTGTACAAATTATTTATAGAAGTAATTTAATGACACATGTGTATAATAAAAATAGTAAGTTTTAAAATACAATATTTTTTTTTTAATTTAAAAATGTTGTATCTCAAAAGTTTATAAATAAGAAAACATGTTAAACATAAGATTAAATGTCAAACTAATTGTTTTTACTAATAAATAGATATAATATAATATTAAAAACAATTAGAAATAATAATGCTTGAAAAAAATGTTCTATTTTTAACTTATAATGTAATAAAACTAAACTGTTTTTTTTTTCATTTTAATGGATCAAACAAAATATGAGGCAAATTATTATGCAAAATAACCTTCAAAAATTATCTACTACAACAGACACCTACATTTCACAATATTTCTCACATAAATTAAGTTTTATTATGTACCAGTACTAGCCAACAATTTTAATTTTAAATTGGTTAGTCAAAATAAAGTATACATTTATCTAAATCAGAAAGGGTGTCAACAAAACCTACAAAACCCTTAATTTATAAAATATATACTTATGGTAATATCATAATTATAAATATATAGATTAAAATTAGTTATTTTACAAATATTTTTCAAGACAAATTATATTTAATTAGCTTTCAAGCTAACATAAAGTAATCATTAATTATTTTTTTGAATTCATAATCTAATTGTTATTTATTAGAAAACATTGAGTGTATAATATACACTGTATATTTATTCATTCAATGATATTGAATGAAGATATATATTAATTTTTTTTTATCATTCACCAAGTCAATATAATTATACATTATTTTTATTGTAATAAAAAACATAAAAGAAATTAAATTTATTTTCATTGAAAAAAAAAAAA